TGATGGTGATGGTGATGGTGATGGTGATGGATGATGGTGATGGTGATGGTGATGGTGATGGATGGTGATGGTGACTGGTGATGGTGATGGTGATGGTGATGGTGATGGTGATGGTGAATGGTGATGGTGAATGGTGACTGGTGGACTGGATGATGGTGATGGTGATGGTGTGATGGTGATGGTGAATGGTGATGGTGATGGTGATGGTGACTGGTGATGGTGATGGTGATGGTGATGGTGATGGTGATGGGATGGACTGGTGATGGTGATGGTGATGGTGATGGTGCTGGTGATGGTGATGGTGATGGTGATGGTGATGGTGCTGGTGATGGTGATGGTGATGGTGATGGTGATGGTGACTGGTGATGGTGATGGTGATGGAGATGATATGGGATGGTGACTGGTGAATGGTGATGGTGATGGTGCTGGTGATGGTGATGGTGATGGTGATGGTGATGGTGATGGTGATGGTGATAGGTGATGGTGATGGTGATGGTGAATGGTGATGGTGATGGTGATGGTGATGGTGATGGCTGATGGTGATGGTGATGGTGATGGTGATGGTGATGGTGATGGTGATGGTGGATGGTGATGGTGATGGTGATGGTGCTGGGATGGTGATGGTGATGGTGATGGTGATGGTGATGGTGATGGTGATGGTGATGGTGATGGTGATGGTGATGGTGATGGTGATGGTGATGGTGATGGTGATGGTGATGGTGAATGGTGATGGTGATGGAGATGGTGATGGTGATGGTGATGGTGATGGGTGATGGTGATGGTGATGGTGATGGTGATGGTGATGGTGATGGTGCATGGTGACTGGTGATGGTGATGGTGGCTGGTGATGGTGATGGTGCTGGACTGGTGATGGTGATGGTGATGGTGATGGTGATGGTGATGGTGATGGTGATGGGTGATGGTGATGGATGGTGATGGTGATGGTGATGGTGAGATGGTGATGGAGCTGGTGATGGTGATGGTGATGGAGATGGTGATGGTGATGGTGATGGTGATAGGTGATGGTGATGGTGATGGTGATGGTGATGGTGATGGTGACTGGTGATGGTGATGGTGATGGTGATGGGATGGTGATGGTGATGGTGATGGTGAAGGTGATGGTGATGGGTGATGGTGATGGTGATGGTGATGGTGATGGTGCTGGTGATGGTGATGGTGCTGGTGATGGTGATGGTGATGGTGATGGTGCATGGTGATGGTGATGGTGATGGTGATGGTGATGGTGATGGTGATGGTGATGGGTGATGGTGATGGTGATGGTGCATGGTGATGGTGATGGTGATGGTGATGGTGATGGTGATGGTGATGGTGATGGTAGTGGTGATGGTGATGGTGATGGCTGATGGTGATGGTGATGGTGATGGTGATGGTGATGGTGATGGTGAATGGTGATGGTGATGGTGATGGTGATGGTGATGGTGATGGTGATGGTGATGGTGATGGTGATGGTGATGGTGATGGTGATGGTGATGGTGATGGTGATGGTGATGGTGATGGTGATGGTGACTGGTGACTGGTGATGGTGATGGTGATGGTGATGGTGCATGGTGATGGTGATGGTGATGGTGATGGTGATGGTGATGGTGATGGTGATGGTGATGGTGATGGTGATGGTGATGGTGATGGTGATGGTGATGGTGCTGGTGATGGTGATGGTGAATGGTGATGGTGATGGGTGATGGTGATGGTGATGGTGATGGTGCATGGTGATGGTGATGGTGATGGTGATGGTGATGGTGATGGTGATGGTGATGGTGACTGGTGACTGGTGATGGTGATGGTGATGGTGCTGGTGATGGTGATGGTGATGGTGATGGTGACTGGTGATGGTGATGGTGATGGGGCTGGTGATGGTGATGATGGTGATGGTGATGAGTGATGGTGATGGTGATGGTGATGGTGATGGTGATGGTGACTGGTGCTGGTGCATGGTGATGATGCATGATGATGGTGATGGCATTAGGTGATGGTGATGGCATGATGGTTATGCATGGATGGTGATGGTGATGGTGATGGTGATGGTGATGGTGATGGTGATGGTGATGGTGATGGTGATGGTGATGGTGATGGGTGATTGTGATGGTGATGGTGATGGTGATGGTGATGGTGACTGGTGAGGTGATGGTGATGGTGATGGTGACATGGTGATGGTGATGGTGATGGCTGATGGTGATGGTGATGGTGATGGTGATGGTGATGGTGATGGTGATGGTGATGGTGATGGTGATGGATGGTGATGGTGACTGGTGATGGTGAATGTGATGGTGATGGTGATGGTGATGGTTATGGTGATGGTGATGGCTGATGGTGATGGTGATGGTGATGGAGATGGTGATGGTGATGGTGATGGTGATGGTGATGGTGATGGTGATGGTGATGGTGATGGTGATGGTGATGGTGCTGGTGATGGTGATGGTGATGGTGCTGGTGCTGGTGATGGTGATGGTGATGGATTGATGGTGATGGTGACTGGTGACATGGATGCAGGTGCTGGTGATGGTGATGGTGATGGTGATGGTGATGGTGATGGTGATGGTGGATGGTGATGGTGGATGGTGATGGTGATGGTGATGGTGATGGTGATTGATGGTGATGGTGATGGTGATGGTGATGGTGATGGTGATGGTGAATGGTGCTGGTGATGGTGATGGTGATGGTGATGGTATCGATTATTCATTATCATTATCATTATCATTATCATTTTCATTATCATTATCATTATCATTATCATTATCATTATAATATCATTATCATTATCATTACATTATCATTATCATTATCATTATCATTATATTATCATTATTCATTATCATTATCATTATCATTATCATTATCATTATCATTATCATTATCATTATCATTATCATTATCATTATCATTATCATTATCATTATCATTTATCATTATCATTATCATTATCATTATCATTATCATTATCATTATCATTATCATTATCATTATCATTATCATTATCATTATCATTATCATTTCATTATCATTATCATTATCATTATCATTATCATTATCATTATCATTATCATTATCATTATCATTATCATTATCATTACTTATCATTATCATTATCATTATCATTATCATTATCATATCATTATCATTATCATTATCATTATCATTATCATTATCATTATCATTATCATTATCATTATCATTATCATATTCATTATCATTATCATTATCATTATCATTATCATTATCATATCATTATCATTATCATTATCATTATCATTATCATTATCATTATCATTATCATTATCATCTATCATTATCATTATCATATCATTATCATTATCATTATCATTATCATTATCATTATCATTATCATTATCATTATCATTATCATTATCATTATCATTATCATTATCATTATCATTATCATTATCATATCATTATCATTATCATTATCATTATCATTATCATTATCATTATCATTATAATTATCATTATCATTATCATTATCATTAATCATTATCATTATCATTATCATTATCATTATCATTATCATTATCATTATCATTATTCATTATCATTATCATTATCATTATCATTATCATTATCTCATTATATCATTATCATTATCATTATCATTATCTCATTATCATTATCATTATCATTATCATTATCATTAATCATTATCATTATCATTATCATTATCATTATCATTATCATATCATTATCATTATCATTATCATTATCATTATCATTATCATTATCATTATCATTATCATTATCATTATCATTTATCATTATCATTATCATTATCATTATCATTATCATTATCATTATCATTATCATTATCATTATCATTATCATTATCATTATCATTATACATTATCATTATCATTATCATTATCATTTATCATTATCATTATCATTATCATTATCATTATCATTATCATTATCATTATCATTATCCATTATCATTATCATTATCATTATCATTATCATTATCATTATCATTATCATTATCATTATCATTATCATTATCATTATCATTATCATTATCATTATCATTATCATTATCATTATCATTATCATTATCATTATCATTATCATTATCATTATCATTATCATTAATCATTATCATTATCATTATCATTATCATTATCATTATCATTATCATTATCATTATCATTATCATTATCATTATCATATCATTATCATTATCATTATCATTATCATTATCATTATCATTATCATTATCATTATCATTATCATTATCATTATCATTATCATTATCATTATCATTATCATTATCATTATCATTATCATTATCATTATCATTATCATTATCATTATCATTATCATTATCATTATCATTATCATTATCATTATCATTATCATTATCATTATCATTATCATTATCATTATCATTATCATTATCATTATCATTATCATTATCATTATCATTATCATTATCATTATCATTATCATTATCATTATCATTATCATTATCATTATCATTATCATTATCATTATCATTATCATTATCATTATCATTATCATTATCATATCATTATCATTATCATTATCATTATCATTATCATTATCATTATCATTATCATTATCATTATCATTATCATTATCATTATCATTATCATTATCATTATCATTATCATTATCATTATCATTATCATTTCATCATTATCATTATCATTATCATTATCTTATCATTATCATTATCATTATCATTATCATTATCATTATCATTATCATTATCATTAATCATTATCATTATCATTATCATTATCATTATCATTATCATTATCATTATCATTATCATTATCATTATCATTATCATTATCATTATCATTATCATTATCATTATCATTATCATTATCATTATCATTATCATTATCATTATCATTATCATTATCATTATCATTATCATTATCATTATCATTATCATTATCATTATCCTTATCATTATCATTATCATTATCATTATCATTATTCATTATCATTATCATTATCATTATCATTATCATTATCATTATCATTATCATTATCATTATCATTATCATTATCATTATCATTATCATTATCATTATCATTATCATTATCATTATCATTATCATTATCATTATCATTATCATTATCATTATCATTATCATTATCATTATCATTATCATTATCATTATCATTATCATTATCTATCATTATCATTATCATTATCATTCATTATCATTATCATTATCATTATCATTATCATTATCATTATCATTATCATTATCATTATCATTATCATTATCATTATCATTATCATTATCATTATCATTATCATTATCATTATCATTATCATTATCATTATCATTATCATTATCATTATCATTATCATTATCATTATCATTATCATTATCATTATCATTATCATTATCATTATCATTATCATTATCATTATCATTATCATTATCATTATCATTATCATTATCATTATCATTATCTTTCATTATCATTATCATTATCATTATACATTATCATTATCATTATCATTATCATTATCATTATCATTATCATTATCATTATCATTATCATTATCATATCATATCATTATCATTATCATTATCATTATCATTATCATTATCATTATCATTATCATTATATCATTATCATTATCATTATCATTATCATTATCATTATCATTATCATTATCATTATTCATTATCATTATCATTATCATTATCATTATCATTATCATATCATTATCATTATCATTATCATTATCATTATCATTATCATTATCATTATCATTATCATTATCATTATCATTATCATTATCATTATCATTATCATTATCATTATCATTATCATTATCATTATCATTATCATTATCATTATCATTATCATTATCATTATCATTATCATTATCATTATCATTATCATTATCATTATCATTATCATTATCATTATCATTATCATTATCATATCATTATCATTATCATTATCATTATCATTATCATTATCATTATCATTATCATTATCATTATCATTTCATATCATTATCATTATCATTATCATTATCATTATCATTATCATTATCATTATCATTATCATTATCATTATCATTATCATTATCATTATCATTATCATTATCATTATCATTATCATTATCATTATCATTATCATTATCATTATCATTATCATTTTCATTATCATTATCATTATCATTCTTATCATTATCATTATCATTATCATTATCATTATCATTATCATTATCATTATCATTATCATTATCATTATCATTATATTATCATTATCATTATCATTATCATTATCATTATCATTATCATATCATTATCATTATCATTATCATTATCATTATCATTATCATTATCATTATCATTATCATTATCATTATCATTATCATTATCATTATCATTATCATTTCATTATCATTATCATTATCATTATCATTATCATTATCATTATCATTATCATTATCATTATCATTATCATTATCATTATCATTATCATTATATATCATTATCATTATCATTATCATTATCATTATCATTATCATTATCATTATCATTATCATTATCATTATCATTATCATTATCATTATCATTATCATTATCATTATCATTATCATTATCATTATTCATTATCATTATCATTATCATTATCATTATCATTATCATTATCATTATCATTATCATTATCATTATCATTATCATTATCATTATCATTATCATTATCATTATCATTATCATTATCATTATCATTATCATTATCATTATCATTATCATTATCATTATCATTATCATTATCATTATCATTATCATTATCATTATCATTATCATTATCATTATCAATTATCATTATCATTATCATTATCATTATCATTTATCATTATCATTATCATTTACATTCATTATCATTATCATTATCATTATCATTATCATTATCATTATCATTATCATTATCATTATCATTATCATTATCATTATCATTATCATTATCATTATCATTATCATTATCATTATCATTATCATTATCATTATCATTATCATTATCATTATCATTATCATTATCATTATCATTATCATTATCATTATCATTATCATTATCATTATCATTATCATTATCATTATCATTATCATTATCATTATCATTATCATTATCATATCATACTCATATCATTATCATTATCATTATCATTATCATTATCATTATCTATCATTATCATTATCATTATCATTATCATTATCATTATCATTATCATTATCATTATCATTATCATTATCATTATCATTATCATTATCATTATCATTATCATTATCATTATCATTATCATTATCATTATCATTATCATTATCATTATCATTATCATTATCATTATCATTATCATTATCATTATCATTATCATTATCATTATCATTATCATTATCATTATCATTATCATTATCATTATCATTATCATTATCATTATCATTATCATTATCATTATCATTATCATTA